GAGGGGCGGAGGACCAGAGGGACCTCCCTCAGGGTACCGCGCCTGCTGGCAGACGGGGAAACTGAGGCACGAAGCACAGCAGCCGCCCCAGGCTCCAAGCCAGCCCCCAGCCCTGGGGTCCCAGCCTGGCTGCCCTCCCCTCCCTGCCCTGGCAGCCCGTAGCAGGAACAATCAGAGAAAAATCCCTCGCACACAAAGGCAGCTTCCTCCCAGGGCTGCGGGAAACCGGGGCAAGGTACAGGGGCTGGCAGAGCCGGGAGCGCCCAGGGCTGCTCCCGGGGAGAAGACACCGGCCCACAAGCCCTGTGGCCACGGTCAGTCCTGCCTCTGCTCTGGGGCCGCCGCAGGGAACCCGTCACCCAGGGGCCCGTCCCTTTTTCTCCAACACCACGCAGCCTCCTCGGCAGAGTGAGCTCCCACGGGTGGACAAGCCAGAGCCAAGGACAGGCCAGAGCCGAGGATAAACCCTGGGGTTGCCGCAGGACGGACAAACGAGCCTCATTATCTACAAAATACATCTTTATTAAAAAATATAAATCAGTCGTTGACTACACAGAGGGGACGGAGGGACGCAGTAAGAGGCTGCTCACCCCAGAGCAGGGAGAAAAGCGAAACAACGGCAGGGGAGTAAACCTGGGACAGAAGTAAACCAACAGCAAAATCTCTGGCAGCAGCGCAGGCGAGGTACCGAGGTACGGGCCAGGCTGTGGGATCCCTGTCCCCGGGGCAGCAGAGCAGCCGCCGGGCAGCAACACTGCCAGAGGGCAGCTTTATTGCTTAGAAAGTTGCATAGATCGAGGCGCCCCCTCCAGCTTCGTGCTTTGGCAAGGCCAAGGACCTGGCTGCCAGGGAGCAGAGCCCCCTCCCCAGTGTGGGGAGCGGGAACACAGGCAGGGCCATCCCCATCCCCATCCCCTGCTCGCACCAGCCGGGAGACAAGTGCCGTCGGGATGGGCTCCATGTAACAGCAGGTTAAGGGTGGAGGGTGCCAGCTTCAAGGTGACAGGCAGCTGCCAGCACCTGACGGGTAGCGAGGCCAGAGGCTGAGCACGACCTGCACCACAGCGCAGCAGCCAGGGGGAGCGGGGTGAGGGGCCAAGCAGAGTCCAAGGCTGCCTTCTGCACGCAGAGGGGACGGCTGGTTTTGGTATCCACCTAGGATCTGAGCCAAGGCAGAGGCACAGCCCAACCAGCTGTGACATCTTTGGTAACAGCAGGAGGAGGAGGAGCAGGTCACCCACTGCCTGCTCCCTCCCCACAGCAGCCCGGCAGATGCTGAGCACGCAGGTACCAGGGGGACAGGTCCAAAGTTCTTCTCATGCACGTCACCCTCACAGGCACCTGCACGCAAGACAGACCTTTCGCTCCGTCCCCACCCCGGCAGGCAGAGACGCTCCCGGCAGAGCCAAGGTGCCCGGCAGCCCTGACAGTCGGGGCTCAGGGTGTTCACAGGAGCCAGACTGCCGCCCAGGCCTGGGAAGGAGGTCCCTGTCCCTACGACCCACACGCTCTGAGCTCACAAACACCCACACCAAAAGCCAGAGTGGCTCAGTCCACCTTCAGACAGGACCAGCGTCCCCCATCTTGTCAGCAGCACAGCCTTTGCCTGCGCTGCGGTCCCCAGGCAGGACCAGCTCCCTGCGTCTCCCCTGCCAACACCCAGGGATGCACTGACAAAAGCTTTCATGCTTTGGCCTGGCAGGAGCTGCCTGGGGAAGATGAGGGTGTCAGCCCCCCTGTCCTCCCACCAGACTCTGCTGTGG